AATTGCTGCTAAATGCTAATGGATTTTTGAAACATTAGAGTTACTGCGTTAATACTAGCCTGCTACCAGGGACTACTTCAGAAAATTATCGGGATAAACAGAGTTTACCATTCATGAAAATGACCTTAAATGATTTCATCAACATAAAAAAGCCTCACATAATATTTGTTTAAAACTGCTCTCATCTCATTAACGGAAAGGCGTGGATGTGTTCTATTTGTTTTGTGAAAAAAAGTTCAATGCTGTAAAATAACTAAACCGGGATATTTACAAATATTTAAAAAATATTTTTAAATGTCTTTTTGAATGGTTTGTTATGATTTTCTATATGGTTTCGTAATAACTAATACACAGATATTGTTTTAAAAATCAATTTAATTCAAGCATTTAATGACTGAACGTGGAATACAGTTGAAAGGATCTAGGCCTTTTTAATGGGATCAATAGATAAAATAGAAACATAACAATATGTGAGACACTGCAATTAGTGACATCGCTGAGTCATCATAGGATAAATCACCTGTGGACAAAATCAAAGTCCTGCTCTATCTTCCAGTTCCACCATGTAATGTTTCTTCAATAAGCTTCAATAGTTTCTGTAGATTCTTTTACTTCAGGTATTGATGTTCACATCATAATTTATAATGAGAAAACGATTCCAGTGTGATTCTTTCATAACGGTTCCCTCCATATAATAATGTGATGTTTTTTTCCTTTTCATGCCAGCACGGCTTCCAGAGCCTTTTCATCTTGTTTTGACTTTTGTTCTTTCTTATCTCCTTGACATAATGCACGCTTCTCCTGTGGCACGGCATCAACCGCCCACCACCCACGGCTGAGGTATACAGTCGGACGTGTTGTGGGGAGGAATGAGAAAACGCTATGCCACATATAGAGAGATAACACAGACAATCACAAAAGCAGTTGACGATGTTGCCTCTCAGCTGAGAGAAAATTCATTCCTGAGATTCCAGAAAATCTCTCTGTACATCATGCACAGTGGATGCACAGTAACAGTGTGTTTATTACAAAGATGCAGCTTCCCTTCTGCACCCCAGCAAGCTCTATTATTTTTAACTGCATTTTTTTTACTTGCATTGACTGAACAAGTAAATGTGTCTTGTCCAGGATGTGCAAAGGTTTCAAAAATTATTATATGAGCAAATACAATATTATGTATATGTATTTGCTGAAACAGACTAAATGTAAAGTTTTAGCTTTGCAATTGTTTTTTACAAAATGCATCAACAAAGGAATTTTTAAATTGACATTAAGGCTCTTATGGAGGAAATTATTTCCTCCAACCACTTCATTAAATTAAAGCCTTGTCTTAATGTTTCTGTAGAAAAGAGTTGAGTTAAATGTACCTGTCATTGGCTTGTGTTATATTCTCTTTCTATACAGGTGCATTTTTATAGCTAATAGGACTGAGCTCGGATTTCAACACCACGGTACATATTTTAAGGGGGGTTATTAAAAGTGACTACTAAATAATCAAAAACTACTACCTGGCCTGGGGATAAGACCAAGACTTTGATGATTCACTCCTAACACCGGTGCCAGCTACCAATTTAGACTTTATTGAGAATATTTGGCAGGGCTTGAATGTGCCGCACTTGCTGTTTGCATTTTGGCTTCAAGAATTCCAAGTGAAATACACAAACACTGAGTTCCTCTCCAATTCTGAGCATTAAATGCATTGACTTTGGGGCTAGTCTGCTGAGGCCCCTTGGTTTCATGGGGCTGTACACCAACATAATGGCAAAATATTCACACACATTAACCACAGACTTAATAGACTTTAAAATTAAATCTTCTCCCTAGTTATTTTAATATAGTGTTATGTGTGACACCATAATGATTAAGGTTTATTACCAACCAGAGACAGTCTCCTCCAGGGCTAAGCTAAGCTACATTAAACCTGTGAACAGACCTTCAAAATGGCTTCTTCTTCTTGCAGCGTTTCAACAGCAGCTCTGCAGCCTTTTGATTCTCATTAGTGCCCTCTTCTGGCTCTCATTTCAAGCATTTACATAACCCACTTAAACCCACTTAAATCGACTAATGGGGATTCATTTGGTGTATTTCTTTGATTTATTTACAGGAAATTCTGCATATTCCACCTTTAACTGGTGCTTATTTGATCATCAATCACTTCTAGTTAAGAATACCCTGCACAGTGCTTGGCATCAATCACCAACATGTGACTATGCTGAGAAGTCCAAGGTCGTCCCCTTCAGCGTGCACGGCTCTCACCTCCTCAGCCCATTGGAGGACAAGGCCAGTTGAAATGACAACACAGAGCTTAGCGCCTCATTACGGCACCTGATGAATATTTCAGCTTATCACAGTCAGCTGGGGGCACATATTCTTTTTACTGCCGCTCCCTATCTTCCTTTTGATCTGCTGTAATGTGCCACTGAATCCCAAAGTTCTCCTCTTTGCCTGCCACTCTGTGTCAATGCCATCCATTATAGATAAAACCAAGCCATTCACATCACTATTAATGGCAATGTGTAATGTGGGGGCAATACAATCCCATAAATTCTTAGACACGACCAAGGTAGCTGGAGACAAACTGAACTGTGGGCATCCATCTAAGTAATAAGATAAAATCACAATCCTGAGAATGTTGGACACGGGGTCAGTGAACGGGTTACGTAACTGACCTTGATGGCTTCTCTTGCATATGTTGCCCTGAGCTTCAGATGAGGATCGGCTCAAATAGCATCACTCCTCTCCTCCTCACTACAGTGTCCTCCACATCCCCTTGAAGTAGATCTAAATGGCTTAGAGTGGTCGAATTTTCCTGGACAATAAATTGAAGGAGACAGTGGACGCGTTGGTCTGGCTGCGTCTAAGGGCCTGTGAGAGCTTTCCTACTTCGGGCCATCCTATGAAATTTGTGCGGTGGTCAGTCTCTGTCAAGACATTTCTAATCAACAGTCACGGCTCATAGAGGAACAAATAAGTCACAAGCATGGGTAAGAGTTGCTAATTGAGCGAGCGGCTCTTGCTGCATCAGCTGGCCACCAGCTAGCCCCCTGATAATGATACGTGTCCACCCTCCTAAAAATAGGCTGTCAAACTGCAGAAACACAGGTTGGTCAACAACCCCCGGAGCCACATGTGACTCCCAGAGCTAAGAATAAGCAGAAACCCTAGCACATTAACAGTCACCGTTAAGTCAGTCAGTCATCAAAGACGAGGTATTAATAGATCAGAGCTGTGTCTTCAGCATCAACAACAGTGGAAAGTCTGAGGAAGACAGCTTGAAAGGAATATGTTTGTTTTACCTCAATCACAAATCCTCAAAAGAAAAACCAGTGCAAGACGAGTAGAAATATACAGTAGGAGAAAAAAAAAACTACATCAAACACAGATTTATTCTCCTCTTCCTCAGAAGCAATTATGATTGAAAGACTCATCATAAAATAGTTTCCCAGAAGAAAAGACAACAACAACACACAGGCCGTTTGACGGCAGGTCCCTGTTTAAGTTAAGGTTAGACAAAAACAAAACCAAACACTGAGCTAATGATGCAGAGAGTAAGAAAAAGAAGCATCAAACACATCTTCATCGGCCCCAGAGCTCACTTCAACTGACCGTGAATACTTTCCCTGACAATAGATTCTGTTACTTCTCCTGGGAAATGATCCTTTGAGAGGTAACACGACCAACCATGGGCCATAAATTGTTAACGCTATTGGAACAAGTTTTGAGTTTGAACGAAATCTGTGCACAGACGGGTGGAATTCTTGAGATGCTCATGACCAGATGTCTGGAGTATTGAGCATCATCTCAGCTCTTCGTTAATCTGAAAAGAACTTTTGCCTGACCTACTTATGGATGCTCTACCGCTCAAAATATACCGTGACAGATTTTACATTTAGCTGCAGTGGGGATATTTTAGAAGCATTTCCTCACAAGGAAGTTGACCAAACAGAGAGGTTTTCCATGGTTTTCCAACCAGGTTAATTAGGCTGCACAGGAAAGGAAACTCTCTCCACCTGTCTGTGAGCAATGCCTTCACGTCAGCTGTGAACAAAGACCTTCTAACAGAGAGACAGTCGTCAGCTCACACAGTTGTTACACTGTTTACCAACTTTGTTTTGACAAAAAAAGAAAAGGAAGGATTTGTTTTCTTTTGTCATTACTTTACAGTTGGTAAAAACCAAAAAATAAAAAGTGGGAGTCATTTTAAATGTGGACATGAAGACCCCCCCCACACACACACACACACACACACAAACACACACACTAATGCAGATGGACTTTAACTGAATAATACTAAGACAAAAACTTTAAAAACAAACATCCAGTTGGACTTCTACTGAGATGAATCAAAATACAATGAAAACGTTTGTGGACAGATTTAACTTTTGGGGAAAAAAAATTGGACGGACACGTTTGGAAACTCACATCCATGTGTCTAAAAATCTAAATTTCCAGATGACTTATTCTATAAAAAACAATTAAATGTTTATGTAAAAATTGCAATTATTGAACAGGAAAATGAAACCCTGAAGCAGACTCGCCTCCATCACGACCTTTCTATAGTGTGTGTTACACAGCAGTGTGAGTTTAACAAAAACCCAATTAATTTGTTTCGTCAAACACTTCTCCAGAAATCCTTCCTCGTGTCCTTTCATCTGATGAATCAAATTTCAAGCACATTTTGTACCCAAAGACTCCTGCATTCACACAGCAGTAATTACACAAATGTAACTTAATATTTCTGTTGATTGGAAACCCTGTGGCATTTTCCAAACCTTACTGTCCATCGCTGCCACCACTGAGCTGCAGTGACCCCTGACCACAGACACTATTAATTAATAGCAGCAGTATCACAGAGCCGCAACATCCAGCCTGTCATTCTTGGGCTGCTGCTTTGCCACCAGGGAAAAAACAACGGTGACACCTCAGCTGCTGTTTGTTTGCCCCTGCAGTACAACCACAGCCCCGGCCACACAGCCAGTGGGCGGTTACTGTTTACTCACCCTTTTGCCCTCCTTGCCTGGTTCTCCTGGCACCCCAGCCAAGCCCTGAAAGAACAGCACATGAGGCCTAATGAGTTTTTATGCTTCATTCATGTACAGCTGATAATAATGTACTTTTTTTTTTTTTTAAGTGGTTTTCAGCTGAATCTGTAAAGATGAGACAAAGTGTTTGCTCGACTGAAGCTTCACCAACGCAGTAGATGATCGATTACGGTTACGTGGGATTCTTGTTTATTATCGTTACTCGTGAAAAGGTTTAGGAGCCGTCTCTCTCTAATAGCCAATTTTCAGCTTAGGTTGATAGGAGTGTAATTTCATTATTGTGTCTTGATAGTAAACAATTAGGTTAATCAAGGCCCTGTATGTACACTGAACCATGGTTTTCCATTTAACTCCCTCTGACAGCTCGTGGTGCTTCGATAAGTGCCAGATGAACCCTGTAGATCTGCATAAATGTTTCACAACCGTGTTATATGCAAACAGAAATTAGACGCTTGACAAAAACATGGGAGTTATTTCAATACCTTTTCTCCTTTGTCTCCTCTGGGACCCTGGAAGATTAAAGAAATTAAGTGAATGTTTACATGCTTTACATTGGGAAGAAGGACAAAAATGATTAATCAATTTTCAGGAAAACATTTTTAAAAAAATACCTGATCTCCTTTGACATATTCTTTATTAGCCTGCAAATAAAACAAACAATAAAAAAACATCAGTCAGTAAGTGTGAATATTCATAGGTCAAAGGTTTATCAATAGTGGCCATTTATAGACAAGCAGCACAATTGGACATGAGGTAGAGCCGTTATCCTTGGCCTCAGTGACCCTGAGAAAAGTTGGGGCATGACTATTACAACTCCCCAGACACCCCGCTGGCCACTGTCGGAAAAGGGCAGACAGAGTCGTCTATCAGCAGTCACAAAATGGACACAAGGCCACATACAGGGGCTCGGCTTTCAAATAGGAGCCAGATAATTGGGCTCCTCTTTCAATTGGCATCCAAAAGTCAAAGCTGTTGACTTTTCTTGGAAACAGCTGCAGATACAGGCATTAGCAAAATATTGTCTTTCACATCAGACGTTGCTTTCACACAGCACAACTGCGAAGATACTAACAAGGAGTCAGACACCACTCAGGTATTCTCAGCTCTATCTGTGCAGGAAAACCCAGTAGCTTCTCTGGTGAAAGACGTATGTATGTAAACAGGTTGTTTTTTCCTGAACATACAGTTCATGTATTCATACTATTGCATCACTGGCTATATGTGGATCAGGGTTTTGATCTTGAGAAGATTTACAACATTTTCAACTGAGGCAGTGATGACTAACACTTGCTCATCAGGAAGAGACATTTTTGCTGTTTGTTTATCCTCATTAATGCATTATTGGAAGAAAAAAGCAGAAACTGCTGACTTGATGTGAGAAGCACATGTTAGGGGCCGTGAACCAGAGCTTTTCCCTCACTGATCCCACCTGTAGACACTCCCCTGTCCCTTCAAATCCCTGGGTTACAACTCTACAAATGTGTGTGTGTGTATGTGTGTGTGGTCATGTCTGCCCCCCCCCCCCCCCCCACATGTGCAGTGTTGATTGGTGGCTGTGCAGGCCTGTGTGTGACATGCAGTCTGCTGACATCTGAACCTTCAATTTTCATCTGCAATCGAATGACATGCATTTATGTCGGCTGTCCGCTGGACCACAGCGCTGCCACAGTCACAGCCTGTCCAATTACACGACTGAAACACACCCTGAAAGAGTGGTGTGGGTCTAGTCTGGTATCTGTAAATACAGGATGACTGTGGGGACAGCCACCAACACAATAACTACATGTCTCAGCCATGTAGGACACAACTAGTAACTATCTGTCAACCTCCACCCCCAGTCTGACACCTGGGGGCTCCATTCTTCTCTGCATGGCTGCTCAACCCTTCTTCCTTTGTCCCCGGTGAGAACAGTCACTCAGCCCTGCTGATCTGCTCCACGATTGACCCACTCCCAGGTGATGGAGGTGTGACAAAGAGACTGTCCACCTGAGTGCTTCACTATCTGTCCAGACGCTTTTAACACTCGACGTGTCTCTGGTTAGGACACAAGGCTTTATAAAGTTGTATCCAGCTTTTTCAAATACCAGCTTTTATAGTTTATTTTTCAGGTCTTTTCCCCTCAATATAAAGTGATTTTAGAAAAGGTAAGTCAATGTCACATCTTTGTACAACAACAAGTCTAGTCTTTATTTAGCCTTTTTTAAAAACCTTACCGAACTATAGATCCAAATATGTAATATAGCAGCTTCTTATATATAAAAATGTATAAAACAAGAGCAAAAAAATAAGATATTTTATTTTAATTCACAGTGACCCCAATGCCCTTTAAAAAAACAACCTTGTTTTCAGTGGAGGTTTCTACTGCCGTTGTAACATATTTAATATCAATTATTTCATGTGTACTGTAAATGGAATACTGTGTACTTACAGGTAAACCAGGAAGGCCAGGTTTACCCACATCACCCTGTGAAAAGGAAAGGACAGTGAGAGAGAGAGAGTGAGTGAGGGCGAGAGAGTCCACAAATGCTGAAATCAGCAACCATTAATTTGACTGCAGGGTGACACTGTTTAAACATATATAAATGTAACCTAAAGGTGTGTAATGTGATAGGAAATGTAATTCTATTATGCATAAGGTCACAAATGCAGTGTTTGTCCTTTAGTGCGGGCGTTGAACAAAACCATTAACTGATATTTAGCGGACGTTATGAATGTGAACATCTGATGACATTCACGCAGAGACAGGGGGTAGGAGGGCTGGAGCAATAGTTACAGTGACAATACGTTTGAAAAGGCAGAATTTTGTCAAGGTTTTGTCATGTTTTTTGCAGTTTTTGCATTCATTTACTTTAGTCCAAAGTCATTTATAAAACACTATGGTTAAAATCTAAAATCTTATCAAACGATGATGTAAATTCCAAAAAGATTTTTCATGTATTGGAAGCATATAATTCCTAGTGGGAATTTCAAATTTTAAAATAGGAAAGATCCAGATGTATTTGTTCACAGAGTTCCCCTAAAATGACCACCAATCATTGAAAGGTTTCTCACACGTCTCGATTAAACTCTGTCCACCCGGTATAACCCTCTGATACAAGAACATCAGAAAGGTTGCATGCAATCATGAATGGGAAAAAGGAACATTTCTGAAACATTTTTTGGCCTGCTTTAAAGGAAGCTCTTTAGAAGGAATGGCCCATTCAGGACCCTCTAAAGTGGCTAAGTCTTGCGGATTGTGACGTTGATATTGTCACATCGATTTGATCTCTGTGTTTGTTGCTTCACTTAAGGCTGTGCACGTCTATAACATCTCACTAATTATACAGTACAAAAAAAAACGACAATTGTTTTTGTCACCACAGCTCTGTGATTTCTGTTTTGTCGATGTATATCACCTCTTTGAATTACCTCTTTAGATGAAATAATTCACTCATTTAAAATAATGTCCTGTTGCGGTCTGTTCACGGCCCTCACTGCAGATTTGTGTTTGCAAATCTACCTCTTTTTTTCAGTTGAAAAACAAAAAAACAAAACAATCCTCCCCTCTTTGCCATTCTCTGTTGTCTTCACAGAGACCTCATTAAGACTTCAAGGCCGGAAAACAGAGTGTTGCACCTGCAATTATGCGGTGACAAAACAGGAGAGAGAAAATGAGGAGGAAAAATAAAAGAGCCACAATAATGGCACCTACAAAAGTTAAAAAATACAATTTTCTTTTTCTGTGCTCAATTTTAATTTGAACTGCTGTGAATCTTTTATGGAAGAAGGAAATTCAGCATCAAAACTCATCTCTCCCATTTCCAGCACTGATGCAATGTTTTTATGATGCTTTAGTGACACCCCACAAGTATTTTTGAAAGTAATTTTCAGACAGTTCTTGGAACAGATGGAAAAACAGGAAAAAAGACACTTAGGCTGCTGTCAAGCTTCAGCTGTCTGAAAGGTAGAGTCAATTCAGTTTATTTAAATAAATAAATGATTATCATTAACATTACATCTGCAACAATATATTTCTAAGGATAATTTTAAGGTGATAGTGTTTTCAAAATCAATCAAAATTAGAAGCAGTAGGAGGCAGTAATGTAACGTACTGTATTAACAGAACTAACAGTTGCCATATTGGAGGTTTAAAGTTTTAAAAATTTGTAAGGTAATGATGTAATTTTTGCATCCAAATATGATGTAAATGATGTAATTTTGATTGGAGGTGTACAGCACCACAGATCAACAGGAGCGGTTTAATCTCTTTTTTTTCTTTTGTGATCATGGAGACAATGGAATTGTCTTCATTTCTAAAGTGAAAACTAACTGTTTATTATCCTGTTTATTAAACAAAACAACAGTATTCATAGCCTCCTGCAGGGGGCGGAGGGGAGTTTCTCTTTCCTTACAAATACAGAATACAAACATTTCTGCGAACTAGTGTATAAAAGTGTGTATGGTATGTTTTAATTCTTAAGCCCAGACCCACTCACTCACTTTGTTTCCCTTCGGACCAGTCGGACCAACTGGTCCTGGGTCACCTTTCAAACCCTGGGAACAAAAAATAAAGTATATTGAAATTAACTAAATTTAATTCCAAATGGTTGGTTTTAAAAAGTTATTAAAAAACTGTTACTGGTTGATGGTTACTGTATGTCAGTACCTTTCTAGTCAGTCATGCAGGTTCATGCCTGTCACATGATCATCATAATAGACAGAGTCAAGATTAACTGTTAACTGTGATTATTTAAATTGTTGGTTCCTTTTAGCCAGACTGCTGACTGTCAATGGTTTAACACCCATAACCAGATGCCCAGGGGTTGGAATTGAAAGTCAAGCCTCTCGGTGATAAAAATGTGAATGAAGGACAGCTGAGATAAAAAAAGCATTAGCTGATGAATCAGTCCTGACACGTATTGACAAGTTAAATTTGCAGCAAGCCTTGTTATGTGTGACACATTTGGGCCAGAAGCAGCATCTCTTTGAAATAGGTTAGGCTGGAGAACAGGAGGGATGAGGCGAGGGAGGCATCTGTAAATTGGCTCAGAAATACAATCATTTGTCATGGTTAAATATAGAGATGGAATGGCTATTAATAGCAAATTATATTTCTGCAGAAGATGATTACCTGCCCTTATCACATTAAGCCTGGCTCAGCCAGAGATGTGATAAATTCCTTGCCTATTCCGTTCAAGCCTGCTGTTAGGCACCATTCACAAAACAAGAGCTGCGGCTCCCCCACAGGAAGAACATGGCCAATAAAACACGCCAGTGCTGCACCTCTGATGACATGATGGTTGACATGATGATAACATGGGATCATATGCAGGCCTCAGACTGAATGTACTGTCAGCAACAGTGCAGCGATCCCCGCGTCTGGGTTTACAGCAACAGCCTAACCACAGTCAGGAGGCAAGATGACAATGTGGGTTCTGATCTGCCCTGCAGTAGTGGTACAAGGATCGTAAACAAACACATCCTATTTCTCCATGTACACCGTTAGTCGCTGTCTTTTAATTTTATTTATTTTTTTCAACATAGAGTAAATCACACGCCCTTTCTTGTCAGGTTCCAAACCTGTTACTTTTTCGGTCTGAATGCACTGGTCCAGTTCAAAGGTCGGTTCAGGAACCAAAACCAGCACACAGCCAACACTGACTTTGTGAACAGACATACTTGACTATAACCAGTGCACACCTGTCTTTAATGTGAGCCATCCTATTTGTTTTGTATGCCTTACAAAAGGAATCCAATAAACCACTGAAGTTGGTTTGTAAATGGATGTGATGTTTGTCACCTGATCCACTTTACACCCTATGCAACCTTTAACAGTACAGTAGTGGAAGATAAATGAACCACCTCAGAGCAAGAGGATCAATGGGTTAAATAGCTGTTTATATATGATGTGCACTACATTGTCTGCATGTACTTTAACCCCAAACACAGCCTAAAGACTCTAATCGATTGTATATGTGAAAGTAAGAATAAAGTGTTGGTCATGTGACTGATCTGTCCGACCTGCAGGGTGTGCTGTTGAATCCTCACAGGGCTTTTGTCCTGTAATAAAAGTTGTGAATAATGAACCCTTGTTATGAAGAACAGTTAGCGGTAGAAGACAGATGATTCAACCCCCGTAAAGAATATTGCGTCCAACATCAGCATTGCCAAATAAAGTTCCCTTCGCCTGCATCTTCTCCTGCAGACACACAGTAATGAGAGCTGACAAGCAACTGTCAGGATTTACATTGTATGATGCAAGTGGAATAGACAGATGAAGGTGGTGAGTAATGTTTCCCATGGCACAAAATGTCCACGGGAAACAAAATATCAGGAACTGAATTCAGGTCAATCACGAACCCAGTCAGTCAAAAATTACCTCTCCTGCTCTCAACCTACTCACTGCTTGTTGTTCACCTCTTTTAAACGGACCACCCTTTGACTGACAGTTTTTGTAGACGAACGGCAAAACCGCAACAACCCCACAGATATTTTTAGAGTCGAAACTGGATCGTCTGCATTTCAGTAAAATTCGAGTGACTTCGTCATTGTTGTGGAACTGCATATTGTCACGTTCTTTGTAGAATACAGTAAACAAACACTTCATATTTAGCCTAACTTCCGTTGGTGACTTGAGAGTTTGAAACTTAAAAAAAAGTTAACCTTATTGATATTTATTTTAATTTTTTTTTTTATTATCTAACAGTTTCTGCATATTACTACAATATACATATACATTAGTTTACTGCTATTATTTATGGGAACAATTTCCAACAAAAAAAATTCTATAGCATATTACTTTTACTTTTTTAATTATTTTATTTAAAAACAAGTTAAGATGCTCCTGTGTGTGATGGACTTATGTGTAAGATAACTGGCTCAATCGTGCTGCACAGGAAGTTTTAGGAGGGAGGTGGGGGGGGGGTATTTGGGTCCAGATGAGCTGGTTGTTCTGTTGCCAGCTGTGGGCTTTTGTGTAGAAAAGGATGGAGAGAGGTAAGGAGAAGGTGCTGAGAAAAGGCTGACGCCGGCTGAGGCTGGCTGTGTGGCTGTTGCTGCTGCAGCGCGAGGTCAGAACACTGTGGGGAGCTGTGTACACTTGCCTGCTAATTACACACACCACTGTGTCTTGTCATTCCTGTTGCGGTGTGGCCACAAGACAATCTGGCAGCTCCCCAGTCCAACAACAACGA